ATACATCACTGACATGTGCTACACTCACTTATTTTGTCTCACTTTATTTTTTTTTAATCCCGTTAGAGCCATTTCACCACCGCCTGAGAGCATCTCGACGCCTATATTCAGGCCGCGGTAGGGAAGCAGAAGGAAACCAGGTTGGAGACCTTGCAAGAGCACACAGTAGTGACGGAGGAATCAGCCACTGTCAGCCAGTTTTGCTGGAAATCTTTACAAAACATTAAAATCTTACTGCCTCCCCACAAGAGCTATTTCTAGCAACGGGCAGGACTTGGCAAAGCGATGGGTCAAGCACTGCCGCTCATCTTCATGTTCCCTTTTATCAGAAGGGACCGGCGACTCTGAAGGGGATGGTAAAACCAGCCCTAGCAGCTTTCCACGCTGCATTTGGTGCTGATTTTTCTCTTCTTTTTTTTTTTCCCCCATCAAAAAAGCTGTTCTGTCTATTTGAGTCGAGCTGCAGGAGCCCCCCTCTAGCGGGATGAGACGGTATTTCAGGCCCACAGCCCAGGCGGATGCTGTCTCCCGGCAAATACAAGACCCTGCACAATCCAGCCAACTCCTGAGCTGGGAACTTACGATTTGGCCAGCTCGTTATTTCACTGCTCTGCTGCCTAAGCCCTTTTGGAGCTGTCTCGGTCAAAATTAGATTTGAGTTACGGACCTGAGGCTGGCAAAGGCAGGAGAGGAAAGATTACAGGGGCGAGGGGGCGGAAAACACAGCAAGCGTCTTGCTCAGACTGGAAAAGAAAACCGATCGATTGGAAAAAGAATCCAGAGCCTAAACGGCGGATGCTAAATTCCCTGCACGATGCCAAAGGCCGGGTGGCTCTACAGCTTCCCCCCCGTCCCAGGAGCCTCGACCGGAGAGCGTTGCAAGTGGAGCGGGCTCCACGCGCTCCGTTTCACCCGTATTTCTGCTTCCTACAGGAGCCCGACTCCCAATTCTGGAGCAAAGCTCCGGGCCGGGGAGAGGACCCTGCGTGGCTTTGCCACAGGTCAGCACGGCACCGTGCTGTGCATGCCACCGGCCCTCCTCTCTGCCAAGGGGTGCAGCACCCCAATGCACACCCAGCTTCCCTTGACCTACAGGGAACGGGTTTAGACACAGCACCCCGCACCTCCCCAGGACAACGCGCTGCCTGGGTCCTTCTTTTGTTCACACTTTCTCCCTTTATCTTTGAGCCAGTCTGCAAACCCTGGACAAAAACAACTTTCCACTACCCCAGCCTGAGATGCTTTAAAGTCCTGCAGTCAAATGAGTTTCAGCATCGCTGGGAGGCTGCAGAGAAAGCAGCTTGGAAAGCCAACGGAGAGGAGGTATACAGCTTGGGAAAGCAACCGAGGAAGCGGACAGACCCAAGTCACCTCTAGGATGCTCTGGGCCGTGAGCATAAAGACATGATGCACTTGGCCATCAACGCTTGTGGGGGGGAGGAAAAATTGGATGATGCCTCCCCGCCCTCTCGCCCTCCCTTTCTTTGTTGTCATCGCGGCCTCCTAGCCAAGCTGGTTAAGAGATTAACACTCTAAAAACCACATTTACTCTAATTAGCCATGAAATCTTTGTAACTAAGTGAAAAAATGTTTCCCTTGAGGGATTTTTGTCCATTCATCACTGTTTGAAATGTAGGGAGGGGGTCAAAGGTGAAGGGGGGGGGGCAGGGAGAGACAGAGAGAGAAGGACGGGGAAAAAAAAAATGGGGTGGGGTGGGGGGTGGGGGGGGAGCTGTTTTTTTTCCCTAGCTCACCAAATGGATGGTTCCTGAATTATTTCTAGTTAACAGACTGCAAACACAATGCTTGGGTCTCTTTATGGTTTGGTTAGCTTGGCTAGCAAGCCCTGCTTCTCCCATTTGCCGTGATGGACAGAAGTACATTGTGCCCCTGGCTATGTGTGCAGACAGCTGTGCGCCGCTCCCCCACGAGACAGCTGGGTGAGGAAGGGGCTCTGCCGGGAACAGGCACGCGGGCCCCTGCGCTGGATGCTTTCATTCGCCTTTTGCCAAGGGAAGGCGCTGGAGAAGAGGAGGGGAGAGGAGAGAGGGCAGGGAGCAAAGCCTGCCACAACTTAGACCCATAAATATTTCATCTCGGCAGAAGAAGACTGAATATATTCCTGCCAGCGCCTTTCTTGTGTATTTTAAATGTGTCACCGCCTTCCACTTCCCCCCTCCCCTGTTTGTGTGTTTCTTGTAACGTGCCCATGAAATAAAGATTAGCTGAATAATCAGGAGTGTTTAGAGATGCGAAAGGGCCTGTCTCAGGAGCGCTCTGGGCTCAGGTTCGTCTCTCTCGGTGTTTTCCCCACTCTTTTAAGGATGCCCGAGACAGAGAGAGGAAGCAATATTTGCACTTGCTACAAAGGCGCCGGGGCTGAATGGAAATGCCAGGGGGCAGATAGGCAGAGCGTTCAGAAATACGGGGATGAGGGCGAATTCCCCCTCCCCTGTCACATGGTTCTTGTTCTAGCCATAGAGGGGCCAATTAAAAGCGCTTGATGAGGGCAGGGTTTGAACCGACGCGTGCAAGTGCAGGGGAAATAGTGAGCGAGCATTGCTTAACCCATCCTGGCTGAACAAAGATACCTCTACGAAGAAAATTTAGAGCGTATTGTGCCAGTACCAAGAAGCAGTTACGGCATCTCCTCTTGAATCGCCTGTCTGCACGCACCATGCAGCATCTAGGCATCGTCTCCCACTTCTAACCATGACCTACGCAGCTTGCTGGCTCAGCTCTTGCACGAGCATATCAATGCTGAAACCTTCCCCAGACATTGGATCAATCCCAGGAGACACATCCAAGGCTCCAGGCTCAAACTGCATCAAAAAAGTTTCCAGAGCCAGTTCTGGATATCCCCAGAGCACTAAAGCTCTCGGGAGACAGTCAACGGGAGACTTCAGGCAGATCCTGCAAATCGAGACACCACAGCGTCTACACCACGAACTGCTCCAAATGTCATTTCCATTTAGCTGCTTTGCAAGCCAATTTGTCACGTCCTAATGCAATTTGCTGAAGAGAGTTAAAGAGCACAGGGCAGGAGGAGTCATCCTTTCTTCAGCATCATATACCCAGGTGGAGAGTGCTTGGGGTCTTTAGGGGTTTTAATATCTAGCTGTATTTCAGAAAGTTCAGTTTCATTCAACAGCTGAGGGGCCAGGGAGAGCTCAGGGTTAACTGGGAGAGCAAAACAGAGTGCAAGGAAAGCACTGGGAGCCGCTATTTCTATCAGATCCGTGGGTTCGCAAAAGCATCTGTTACCTGTTTCCACTGCACAGACTTGTTATAAGCCAGGGGGAAACTCTGCAAATAATTGGATCAAATACAGCTATAGAGGCAATGAAGAGTAAATTGGGTTGCTTCATCTTCCCACAACGAGCACGGCAGAGGAGAGAAGGGTAAGGTGTCTGCGTTTGGTTGCACGAGCCATTTTACAAGAGAAACCAGACATACAAGTGACTCTTAGGCTGGACTGTGCTTCCAAAGTCAAGGTGACTCTGCTCAGATCCTAAAACCACTCCTAACTATTGTATTTAAGGCCTTATGGTTTATGAGCAGAGACTGAAGGAGCATCTGGCAAAAGGCAGCAACATAGGACACACTTTTTATTTTATTTTTTTAACCAAGGCAAACATCTCCACATTGGGAAAATATAAGCATCAATTCTGAAGAGGGCACAAAGGCATCAGTCATTCTGTGGTGGAAGTAGGTCATTTGACTGAACTTTTAGAGATATTGATATCACCGAGGCCGTCCGGCACATGAAAGCAGACAGCCTGCCTCCCAAAACTCAGTCAGGGTCCATCAAACAGATTCATCCTACTAGAGAAATGTCAAGTGGTAGACAAGTAACGAGGAGGAAACCCTCCTAGAAACAGGATTGCATAGCACGGTACCCTATGAACAATTCATCCTTGCTTGCTGCTGAGCCAGTATCCTGAATACAGATCACGGAGGCATGATTTTTTCCCCACCTCTATCGCTCCTTAACCCCCCTGCTTTCCCTTAATGTTAACCTACTGACTTTCAGATGCTGCTTAAAACAGTGATTCAATGAACATCATTCATCCTGCCTTCAAGACCATGAAGTACTGGCACAGCTTGCACAGAGAAAAGGCTGGTGTTTGACCATACCAGGTGAAACCGGGGGCCGGATGAAGAGAGGACAGTGCGGCCCCTCACTGTACGTATAGACAAGCCTCTGTTATGATAAACACGCATGTAGCATCCAAGCAACTTTAGGGTTTGATGAGGCTGGAAACAGTCCCTGGGACCTAGGAATTTTTTCAGAAAAGCATGCACAGATTCCCCCTTCCCTTTCCCAGCTTCTGGAAAGGGATCTTGCAGGATCTGGGACCTTCACAGTACGGATATTATTTTTTTCCAGGAATCCTGAGTGCTGGCCAAAAAAAAAAAAAAGTCTCTCCTGGTCAGTGGCAACTTTTGAGGGGTTTTGTTCCCTTATGACGCACTGCCTTTCCCCAGTCCAGGACTGAATGGTAGGGAATGCAGCCACTTGGATTTAGGAAGGAATAAAACATATTGACAGCAGAACTACACTAAGGGGACAAAATAACAGGATGCCCAAACTGGATTGGGAAGGGTGGGGAGGGGGACAGACAGAGGGGAGCCTCACAGGACTTGCATTATCGGTTGAGATTTAGCTAGCAAATTAGGAAACCCCTCAAGATGATGCTCCCAAATCCAGCCTCTTCCAAGTGGAAGACAAACATGCTCCTACAGCTTCCAGCCTCAGCCAGAAAACAACCTGGATGCATGCATGCACCCCCCAAACCCCATCCCCAAGGACGTGGTGGGGGTCTTTCCCCGAGGGCACCTGGTGAGACTCCCCCTTTGGCAGCGGGGAGAGCGCCAAAGCCGCGGCGCTGGGAAAAGGTATTTGGGGGCTCCCTTCATGCAGAATAAGAGAGGGGCAGGTGCTAGCTGGAGGGCCCCCCCCCACCCCTTTGCCCACCCCGGCTGGGTGGCTTACTTACCAGACCTAAAGATCCTCTTCCGTCTGTCTCCTTGGGGGCTCTCTGCTTTCTCCCCCCACCCCTCCACCTCCTTGGATTTACGGAGAGGTAATCCAGTCCGACCCTGAATTCATTGAAATCCACCGCAAGTCACCAGCTACTTATCTGTATTCCTAAAGTCTCTCTGCTCTTCCTTGGAACGGCTCCTCCAGGCAGTCAGTCAGTCATTCCTCTGAAGCCCCTGTGTGGCTGGCTAGCCAATTATTCTTATTCTTTTTAATGGTCCTTATTCCTAGGATTCGCCCACCTAGACTTCTCCTCTACCCTCCCTGACATCAGCCATCCCGGGCTTCCTCTGCTTTTTTTTTTATTATTATTTTTTTATTTTTTTTTTTACAGTCCCATTTCCTTCACAGATCTGTTTTTTCCTCTCTCTCTCTCTCTCTCTCTCTGTGTCTCTCCCTCGCTCTCTCTTTCTACCAGCTGAATTTCACAGTAACTGTGCACTCCTTCTCCCGGCTCTAGGCTGGCACTGGAAGCTCATCCCCCCATCAGCAGCAGTCTGACTGCTAAAGCCTGCCTCCCTGTATTACCATGTAGCTCATTAACATACAGTCACTGGGGGTTAACTCTTCCGCAGCCACCAGCTCCAAACCGCAGGCCTTCCCCAGTGCCCAATGCTGGACCCTTGCATTTCTCTCTCCGGTGACACGCAAGGAAAGCGGCTCAAGGGATGCAGGTGCAAGCTAGAGACCTCCATTGACACTTGCTCCCCAAGAACCGGCTGAGCTGGACCAGCCACCCGCAAACTACCTTAAAGGTAAAACTCCAGCAAAGCACAAGGATTCAGAGGCAGGGCTGGGAAATGGGGGCTGACACACGGGTGCTGCCCACTCAGCCTGGTTTGCAAAGAGAAATGGAAAGGTGGGGATACCACCACCCCACCCCTGTCTACCTGCTCCCTGCTGCCCCTCACCAGGCTTTGGGAGGCTTCCCCAACAGGGATCCTCTATGCACCCGACATTGCTTTTGCCTTTTATTTTATATGCATGCGGACACATGGACAGAAATAAAAACGCAGTGAAAAATAGATTCGTAGATGTTAGGGTCGGAAGGGACCTCAATAGATCATGGAGTCCGACCCCTCATCAAGTCCGACCCCCTGCATAGGCAGGGAAGAGTGCTGGGTTTAGATGACCCCAGCTAGATGCAAATCCAACCTCCTCTTGAAGACCCCCAGGGTCTTCAGTAGGAACCGTTGCAGTTTCAAGGCAGCTCCTGTGTTAGGGCATCCATTTCCTGACCTGGCTACTAGCTAGTCATCTGGTTACTACCCACATGGGTTGGATTTGAAATGCGGAGAAAGGCTCCACAACCCATTACTCACCCTCTGAGCCATCCAGCACCTCCTAGTTGCCTATGTGCATGTTGCACTGCACAACAGGAGTGAGGAGATACAGGCCTGTGCTGCAGCTGTCATGCAAGGGATCTGAATGGGGCCACCTGGGTTCTCGTCTCAGCTGCTGCCACCCGCTTCCTACGTGAACCTGGGCAAGTCACAACCCCGGCTCCTTGCTACACCTTTTCTCCTTCAGTGCAGCAAGAGGGAAATGAGTTTTATGCAGCATTTGCATTCCCAGTACCTGGGTTGTGCTCCTGTCTCAGGGCGCTGGTTCAGAGCCCCTGGGGGGGTGGTTTCTGCACCTTGTATGCTCCTGGATGAATTAAAGGGGATAACTACACCTAATGATTGTGCTTGGGAAATTCCACTTCACAGGTCTGACTTGAGATGCAACTGGATTGGATTCAGACCCTTGCGCCACAAGGCAACGTGCAAGTGCAGATTCCTACTGGGAAGAGTAAACACAGACTGCAAGCAGCCCAGGGTCTACCATCCACATCCAACTCAACAGGCAAGAGGACTAGGAGCCGATCGCAGACCATCCCAACCCAAACCGTGCACCTGATGCAATACTCTCAGAGTAGATGAGCAACTGGGATTTCCACCTAAAAACTTCAGGCCCACCACAGCATACACATCAGAGGACCAGACTGTAGAAGCAGAAGATCCTGCCCCCCATCAGACCAGCTGAAGAAGGGGCTCTAGCCAAGTGGTGATATGTCAGTGAGTTGCTGGTTGCCAGAAGGGCTTTGAAGCCTTGTGGTTACACCGTGTTATGTTGGGGTATGTCTCTGGGACACGCAAGAGAGCACGAGTGGGGTAATATTTAAAACAGCAAGCCACTCTAGAGACTGACATGCTTTAAATAAAGCCAGGTCATCTGATTCAGATAATGTTCCCATCCCCAAAGAGGCTCAGAGGAGATGCAAAACAAATTATAAAATAAAGAGGGAACCATATGTACGGGAACAGCTGAGACTTGCAATCAACTCGGCTGCCCTGAGGAGATAGCAGACAGACCACGTAGCTGCTTATGTGGCTTCTCCATTCTTCCATATGGAGCTCCTGAACAATGCTCCCCTACCCTGAAGTGGGTGCAGGTGCTGAAAGCTGCTCTGGATATAGCAGAGGCAGGCTCACATGACTAGCTGGCTCTAAAAGCTGTAGCCACACAGACGTGCACTTCAAAGCAGCACAGCTTCTTCAGGAGCAATGGAGAAGTAAGGTCCTGACTGTCCCTGGACAGGAGATTCCAGTCTTTACTTCCCAACCTCTCCAATAAAGGCTTTAATCAAGGCATCTTGTCCCTAAACTAACACACCTACAGCCCTTAATCACGGCACACCGCTCACCGGGTATGCAGGAATAGTCAGGGGAAGAGATTAACTCTACTGAGGTGGCTCCCCAGCTATCCCCTGCCCACAGATCACATGCCTGCAGCTAACTAAAACCATTTGGGGGAAGGGAAAAAAAAAAAATCTCTTCCCTGAAGTCTCCAAGCCTCTCGAGGAGGAGAGACTCAGCCATGCACCGGAAAGGTCCTTTCCCTTGGCAGCACACTAGACAGGTGCTCAGCAGGTTGCTGCTTGCCCTCTTTGGCCCCGGCTGCTTTTTCCCTTTGCAGGAGTGCATGTTTGAGAAGGGTAGAAAGGAGATAAATTAAGCCCATGAGCTCATTCCTATTGCTCACAGGTAGTTTAAAGGTATTTCTCCCCTCGAGGGGACTACAACAGACAAGAAATCAATAGTCTCCCCAGGGAGAAAGCCACCCTGTAGGCAGTGAATACACCTCTCTAAGAGGAGATTTTCCCCATCTCCGTGTTCCCTGTCGCTCAGGAAAGGATTTCCTTGTTTAAACATGTTCCCTACAATTTTCCAGCATGAGGCGCTGGCCCAGCTCAGACCTCGCTCCTCTTCCTCTCAACTGCTTCACTCGTAGCTAGATTGAGTCTGGGACTGGGGATATTTCGGCACCCTGAAAGGCTATCTACAACGCAGCTATTCAGCTTGGGACAGGGACACGAGGCCGCTCTGTGCACACAGCGAGCTCTGCTCTTTCATTATTCTGCCCCCGCTACATTTGCTGCGTCTTGCATTCACAGCAAACGCCACTAAATCCCATTACAAATACCAGCCTTGGCTAAATGCACGTCCCACTAATGCAATTTCTCTTTTCGTGGGAAGCCGTACAAGGCGGGTCGGAGCATCTTAATCGCTCTCTCCTCTTGGCTGGACTGTCGGCATGCTGCATTCTGGTTATTATTTATTGATGGCCAATTGTTGTCAAGATGGAGAGTTTCTCTCTGGCTAATTACAGGATTGCTGAGCTAGGGGAGCAGCCCAAAAAGGGCAGCAGAGGAGGTCACACATATGATGCAGGTGAGGAGCAAGGGTCTTTCCCAGGGTGTGCACAAGAGCAAAAAGGCACCAGCCAGGATTCACCCGGGGTACTGATGCCAGTGAGTGTGAGCTGATGAATGATGCGTTTGGCTAGCCACTTCTCTGGCCATGCAGGTTTTAGGCAACAGCAGCCTCATACCCGAGTCAACTGTAGGTAAAATCCTTGTGTAAAGTTGTGTTAACCCATGCCCAAGGCCTGTGACAATAGTAGTACCTGGAAATTACAGGAAGCCTTTTTGCAACTGGAAGCATACAGCAGGCCTTCACCATAAGTATTTATCACTAGGAGGAGAACATGCTTTTGTGATACACTCCTATTACACACACACACACACACGTAGTGTGTATGTACTTGTATGTGCATTCAAGAGGTGTGTGCACGTGGCCTATTTGGGTCTGATGCCAGCATCTTGCAAGGATGTACTTGTTAGCACCTGTGTCGGTGTTTGATGCGGTGTTCGTGTCTTCCATGCAGGTCTCATTTGTGTCCTCCATCACGTGGCTCCGTTTCGTCCACGTGCTGCTGTGTGCTAGTACTGGGCATATCTGTTCCTAGGCATATGTGTTTGTGTATGTGTGTACTAGGCTTCGGGCATCTTGTCACTTTATTTTGAAAATATGCCTCCATGTCTCCTTCTTGCATTTGTGGAGCATTTGGTGCATTGCTGCCTCTTTGTTATATGCACAGATCCATATCTGTGAAGCTTGCGTGTGCAAGCTGTCCGTGTCCGTGCTTTCTGGGCACGCCGGACCAGTGTTCTGCATACAGGTTTAGATGTGCATCTACTTCTTTTGTGACTGTATATTTGCTTGTGTGGTCTGTTCTGCACGCATATACTAAGGGAAAACCAAGAGCACAGCACAGCATGGCCTCCCTTTCACCAGTCTTGCACCCTGAGCTGATGGCAACCTGCTTGACAGCCATGTGGACATGGGTGCCCAGTGCCTACATGGGAACTACATCTCACTTTGCAACCAGCTGCCCTCAGCACGGTGGTAACCACCAGCAGAAAACTCTGGTGCAAGTCACTCCGGATAATTTACCGGCCAAATGATAGCGAACAGAGAACATAAAGACGCCCTGAGAAACAGAAAGCTGTTTGCATAGGGAACAAAACTGGGCAGGACCCACATAAAAAGAGCCATGGAGCTATAATTTATGACGGCGTCTCCCCCCACAGCTTTGTGGGAAGCTGACATCCTGGGGCATTCGAAACAGAAGCTTGACTCATCCTGCTACAAATCAAACAGGACAGTCGTGGAGTCCTTTATTGCTCCCCACAACCCCTTGTCTGCCCCTTTCCCCTCCTCTGCGAGCGTCCCCCTTGGGGCATGCCATTCTGCTGCACCTGGCAATGGCAGCCCCGAGGCCCCGCGTTGATACGGGTCCTGAGATGCCATTTATGCCTGAGAGTAACTGAGCACGAGGGACGTAGGAGGGAGGAGGTTCGCCCCACTCTCTCTATGCATGCACATACCCTTTGCTATCTTCAGGCATTTCCCCTGGGAGAGGTGGGAATTGCTACCCTGCCACGGCCAGTTCTAGCACTTGCGTCTTGTGGGAGGTCAAGGCAAACGTTTCCCTATTTAGAGGGTGGGCTCTGAGCCCACTGTAAAAGGCACCGGGGAAGCCTCATCACCCATAAACTACGTAACAACGACGAACTCCACCTGGAACAAGGGCTATTAGGAAAATGGCTTATCGTGAACGGAGACAAAAACTGCTTGGCAAAATGAAAGCA